TTATTATATGTCTCTGTGATGGACCTGGGATCTGTCCAATGTGTCCCCTGGCCTGGACATGGGCAGCAGCACCCAAGACCCAGAAATTAAAAAGCTGGCAAAGATCAGGGATAATYGACCATCACAGATTGTAAACAAGAAACTGTAACAAGTTTTTTATGGTTTGAAATCATCTCAGTGTCACAGTAATATTAGTAAAGCAGTGATTAGCATTAAAAAACATTTATTTACCTGTTATAACTCAAAACAGTAAAAGTAGAAGTGAAGATTTTTTTGTTTAAAAAAAGTAAGATTTTCTGACATACCAGCAGAATGAAGAAAAGCATGATGYGTGTCCGATGCCTGCAGCTCAGAATGTGTGGCAGCATGTTCACCTCACTGGTCCTTCACCTGCTTGTCCACGCCCACAAGCAGTAATATATGATTACACACTGTCTGTGAACTGAACATGCTGTTTCAAGCAGCTTTGGAATTATAACCTTAAACGTGTCACATTATAGAAGCTCCTATAGACATTTACTTTGGTACATTTACTTGAATAAAGTTTTTGGGGAAAAAAATATTTTAGAAGTAGTTTTACAGCATCATACTTTTTACTTTACTTAATATTATGAATTATCACTACTCTTACTTGAGTATGTAACTTCTCTGAATGAAGAACAAACGAGTTTTAGCCAGAAATGCTCCTGAGACACACCTACAGTTTATGTTGAAGTGAGACCTGTAATGCAGCATTAACGCCGCATTACATAATAATGTAGTAAAATCAGGCTTCAATAAATGTAAATATATTCACACTAAAACCAAATTACCTAATAAGTGACACAAAATGTAATAAAAGCCTTCAACACATTTTGTAATACTCACAGCYACATTAGGTAACAACATTATTATATTTTGCACAATTGTTACAAAGTGGGTGGCTCAGTTAGTAGAGCTGATGTCTCTCAGCAAAAAGGTTGCCGGATCAAATCCYGGGACCTTTCTGGGTAGAGTTTTCATGTTCTCTCTGTGCATGTGTGGGTTCTCTCCGGGCACTCCGGCTTCCTCCAAAAACATGACTGTTAGGTTAAATGGTAACTCTAAATTGTCCCTATGGTGAGAGTGAATGGTTGTTTGTCTCTATATGTCCCTGTGATGGACTTGCGACCTGTCCAGGGTGTACCCCGCCTGCTGGATATGGACACCCGTGACCCTAAAAGGAAGAAATGGATGGGATGGATAGATGTTACATAAATGCAGTGGTTGCCCTTTTTACAAATTATGTCATAATTTAATAAATGGTCACAAATCAGCTGTTTTTGTTCATCCTAATCAATACACATGTAATAGTGATCGTGTTGCAGATACTAATCTTTGAAACTTTGATCAGTAAATGCCTAACTTTTCATCATTAGTTGTCTATTCATAGCCAGATTCCTGTGTATCAATCAACGCTGGAGCGCGATGCGCATGGTGCAGAAATCTCTCACCCACAATACAGATGTGCTGGATTGCACCATGCACAATACAAAACACACACACACCTCAATTCACCACTTTTGATGGCTATGCAGTTTGTTTTTGCGAACTCACAAAAGTTTTCTCTCACAATTTTTTTTTATCCCTCATCTGCTCCTCATGTTTTAATATGTTTCTGTTTTCTTTCTTTTTTTATTGCAAGGGCAGCGTCTTCCTATGGCTGCAGCCCCGGGCACCTGTACCCCCCATGTATGTGATTCTTGTTCTAGTCTCTCTTGGATGGGTTGTTCCTAAATTAATTTTATTGTGCTTATGTACAATGACAAATTTATCTCATCTCATCTCTCTCATGTACATCCAATAATCATTTTTCTGGGTGTGATTCAGATATTTAGGATATTTTTCTTCTTTCTGCTTCCTTTCATTTAATTTATGACTTGTGTTTTATTTTTATTGTAAATAAATTTTTGTGTTTGTTTTAAATGTAATGGATGGATG